CTTAAGCACACCGAGGATTTGTCCGAGCCGCTGGTTGCGCCGCGCGCGGCAGTACGATCAATTACGATTCGCTTGTCCGTCTCCCCTAATTAGAAAGTAGTAATAGTAGGATGGTGAGGGTGTGTCAGTGATTTCAAACCTAGTGTCTGTCACAGTAGCGAGAAACTCCTTTCTTTCGACGTATAATATCCAGGTGGTTCATTTTCAGGGAATATTTGTCGCTCTCCCATTGCTGAAGCGGTTTTTCTGGATACAATCAAGAAAAGAGGAATTCGTGATGAGTATGATTTCATTTTATTCTGCCCATCAGATCCTCCACTTCATCTTTATCCTGTTGATTCCTTCACTTTTTGTTAGTGTGCCTTTTTGTGACCAATAATCCGCGCAAAGGGGTGGGGGAAGGGGGCGGAGTTTTGAGTCACACAGTGCTTTTTATTATAGTACGGGTTTGTAAACGCTTGCAGGGCAGTCATTTGCCCGCGCGCTGTTGGAGATTGGTTCTAGGTTTTTATGGTTCATTTATCCCATATGAAGGAACCGGAAGAGGCTCTAGGTGACCTGAAAGACCCTTGCTACATTGATCGAGTTTCAATTACTGACACAGAACATCCAGAGTTAAGTGAATATTTTTCCAGGTGGATAGTGGACAGCTCCGCTATAATCGATTTCCACTCCGGCAAACCTCCTGATCGGCGCGCCATTGGCATTCTCAAAAAGTTCGGGATCATCGATTACCAGCATAAAGCCAGAGTGGTCAGGTTCACACAGTATAGTGCTCTCATTCTCGATGGAAATACCGACTTTTCAGACCACTACCGCTGATTTACGGGAATTTGATTACATCTTTGGAATGGATAACAGTAATATAAGGTAACTCATACTGGAAGAGGGTTTGTTGTTAAATCTACGTTCCTTTTCGCTGCGGATGCTCGGTCGTGGGGCCAGGGGATGCTGGGTTTGACGCGGCGCCAGGCAGGTTTCCGCCAAGTGGCCGTTTACCAGCTCCCACAGTTGCTGTGAAGCGAGCGTAAGCCAGCTTCCCCGCCCTCATCCGACACGCCATGGAATCCGCAACGAACAAGCTATATTTGGTTTTCAGTGATTTGAAAGACTTGGAGAAGGAAGAACCCGAAGCAAAAGCTAAGATACAACTACTTGGCGAATTTGATCCTGAAGGGAATCGAATTGTGCCAGATCCTTATTACGAGTCAGGAGACGCGATGTTTGAGCAGGCCAGTTGTTTTCTAATTTTTTTTGGTAAAGACGAGAATATAAATTCCTCCTTGAAGTCAAAAAATTCTCGAACACAGCAGCGAAAAAAAAAACTTGCAACAAGCTCAAATCGCTCGCTTTCAATAGTTTTGTCGGACTTTTTTCAATCGCCAATAAAAATTTGATGTGCTCAGGTAAGCCTGCCTGAAGAAACTATAGATAGCATCCTTCTGGATGTGAGATGGTCTGTGCAATGACGGGAGTAGCTAATGTAAAAAATGGCGTTTTCGTCCTCCCACAGGTCGCTTGTACCAATTATCTCACCCTAGAGGGATAAAAGTATGATTGGCTTGGGCGGGAGTCGATCTGGGATTTGACCCCGGCACCCGCACGTACTAGATGGCGCCACTTGCTGCTACCCTACCTCCGCTATTTGTTAAATGCTGCTTCTAATATTTCTGGTTTAGAGGAGAATAAATAATCAGAAACGGATGAAATGTGATTTCAGAGCTTGTTTCAGGTTTTTTTTTCCACGATTGTAGATTGAAGTTCCTGTAAAATGACGTGAGACCCAATCTTTCGGATAATTCTTTCTCAGATGAAATGTGTTATTCTATATACATAACTTATCGTCGCCGCTGTGTTTGAAGTAGAGGAGCGCCTAGTGGCGCTTCGATGTGTTCCTTCGCGGTTTGTCACGGGGCCACGTACAAGCTCCGGTCGTATGGACTGTTCTGAAGCTGAGCCTTGGGGAGGGACGACTTAGCTCGGGAGGGGGGAAGGGTACGTTCGGCCCCGCCTTTGTACCCCATTCTCTGAGCAATGCTTAGGCTTTGCGGTGTCTTGTCTACCGGGCCTTCCCTCTGCGGTTCTGCTTCGTCTGCGCTTCAAGACTAATCCTTTTTGAAAAAGAATACACAGGCGCGACCGAGAGGTCCTCCAACTACCTTAGCGCGGGAATGACTTTGTGGTGTGCACATCCCTCAGCTCAGACTCTTTGAAATATTTCGAAAAAGTAGCTTGACAGTAACGCCTCTTTTTCGTTATAATTTTTCATTTTCAAATTTCAGGTCTACCATCAGTGCGTCCGATGTTGTGAGGCTTTTTTAGACTCTTTGAAATAACTTCTGCAACCACTCGAACGTGCCCTAAAACTAACTCTCTTGTGTTTATGTGTTTTGTTTTGCTGGTTTCCTCTCTCTATTGAACGGTTTCGATTTGTTAGGCTGGTATATTCTTACATTTCGTTGTCACATATAGGAGGATAGGAGGAGTTACATCCACATTGCTACGACGCAGACAGCCTAGTCAATATCTTAGCTAACCAACTGGAGTCCTTTATCCTTTTAACTTGACGGCGCGAAGGTGGTGTAGTGAAAAGTGCGCGCTTAACCACTCGCGCGGATCCTGGGTTCAAATCCCGGGTCGACTCCCGCCCAGGCCAACCAAGCTTCTACCCTCCGGGGACGGTAAATTGGTACCAGATTCGTCTGGGAGGATAAAACACTGACTTGTACATCGGCTGGCCACCGCAAGTCATTGTATAGGCCACATCGCATTCAATAAGCCACTACGATTCTGAATGGAAGTAGAATGCGTGCCGCATCCCACAAAGGGATTGATCAACGGCGAAGACTTTATCCTTTAACCTTTTAACTAACTTGACATATGCAGATGTACCATGTTAAAATGTCGCGTCGACGCAAGGTGGATATGACGTCCTACACCCCATATAGGAATAGCATAATAAGGGTGAAATCTGTTCTTTAGATGCTCACTATGCCTTGAGTACAATAAATTTTTAATTTCGTTCTTTATTATTGTCATATACGATCCTTTTCGTAAAGTTTCTGTTCAATTTGAGCTGTTTTCATACAAAATTTTCGAGGATGTGAGTCAAGCGTTCTGTTTTCGAATTAGCTTCGTCAGTTATGGTTTTCGTCATTTCGCATAATCTGGTCATTCGTATGTTAGAGTGCTGTTTGGTTTGGGAGGGGCATTTTGCACTTTCTTCAGTTTCATTTACTTTCATATCAACTGACAGGTCTCATTTTGGTGAAACCTGAAAACCAAATGCTGGGTTGGCCCTTGGGTAATGGACGTTTTTTTCTCACACAAATTTTTATATGGAAAATGACAATTGTTCCCAATGTGTTCTACACTGTTTGATAGATAATTCTGTTCTATAAGATAGCATAGCTGCCTTTCCATGTTTCTTGATTTCTGTCGATTTTTATTTCATTGAAATGGAGTGTCGGGTCGACGCAAAAGTGATTTTTGTCCTTTTTCTTGGGTCTTGAATTACGGAACAACTTCACAACTTGTGATATATTTTCATTTCAAAATCATCACTTTTCAAACCAAATTCACCACTCTTTTTAGACCGGGCAGTTCACCAACCAGATCACGCCAGACACCACTGCGAGCCCCGCCCCGACGGCCACGCCTACTTGTCAGCGCGGACATAGATTTTCAACACATCGACACATGGCCGACTCCGCCCATTCTTTGAAGGGTTTGTTGCGAACTTCGAAATTTCATAACTTTTTCAACTTTTGATTTCACATCCACTCTTTGCACAACGAACATACTCGTACCCGCGCATTCATGCACTGGCAATTTAGGCTCCGCCACGCTTGCTTTTTGCGGAATTTTGATATTTTTTCAAAATTTTTGCATTTTTGGACTGCTCCATGAAGCCCCGCCCACTGTGAGAGGCTCCGCCCACTTTCGAAGAAGCCCCGCCCACCCTTAGATGGTGCAAGTTGGCAGTATAGAGTCTTGGCTTGCATGCTAGGGTATCGCTGGTTTCGGAACAAATAGATCAGGCAAACGTTATCACAAGAATGCTGAGTTGTGGGCAAAAGTC